CTTTTTTGGCCTCCAACTAGTCTGTTTCAAAATGGTCTTCTCTTAGAATTGGTCACCAAATGCTTCGAGGTGCGACCATCTTCTTCTATTTTTAACCTCATTTCTTTATCAAGAAACTAAGTTAACCAATATAGCTTAAACTTTTTTCCTTTCTTGACCTCTTCATTATCTTGGGGCGAGCCGATGAAGTCCGTGTTTGAGCTAAATGATTTGGAGAAAAGGCCTCGTATCAAGGAGAAGAATTTAAGAGTGGAAAATTCTTTGGTAATGGATAGTGTCATATGGCTTGATGAAGTAACTAGAGGAGATTCTTTGAGATGAGTCACCATCATAGAAAGAGTATATAGATATTAAGGACATAGCAAAGAGACGGGTGTTAGTGTGAGCAAAGAATGATTTCTTCACTACTTAAGTTTCATCTTTCAGTAGTTTGGACGAAAGAGCCATCTCAAGCAAACGACTTAAGCATGACACTTTATTTTTCAAAGCAAGCACTTCTTATTAGATGCTTTACTTCTCTTGGATTTCATCTTGGTTTTCCATCTTGGTCGAGTCGTTGGTGTTAGGACGAGTTAAGCTTTCGTTAAAAGTAGCTCGTGTCTCCTTAGATTTGTTTATTCTTACAAACCAAAATATACAATGAATTTATAAGAAAAAATGCATGCATGCAATAATGTGAATCGGATTGGATATATTGCTTTATCTATTACGGACTTTAAATCATGACGTAACTTGTACTAAGGACGGGTCATGTCGGATTTTAGTACTAGTTGAGGATACAACCCCACGGATACTTAGACAATTTGAAAGACGTATCTACCCCGGATCGATTTGTCTTCGATTTGAATTTTTTTTTTTTAGACCATGAATGATGAGTGCATCTTGTAACAACATATATAGAAAATTTTGAAATTTAGACTCGTAACACATTTTAAATGTGACTTAGAGATATTTTTCATTGAATGAAAAAACAATATCGTTGTTTACATTATAATGATTACTTGTTACAACCACTTAGATTATATTACAATGCTTATAATAGTGTCATTACATATAGATTCCTATTCTACTCTTTTATAATTCCATACCGGGATATGAGACAACAACAACTATAAGGTTTCGAGTCTTGTATGAATTTTATCTTCGATGGTGTACTTGTTATTTATGGGTCCCATCCCATTTTTTTTAGCTTCTTTTCATAACGAACTTTAACATAAAATCAAAAAGTAGACAGCCTTCTTTCTCAAATTGGGACTACTCTAATCTGTTCTTAAAATCCTTAATGCCATTCTCCGTCATGATTTGTCTAGGTGACAACTTGCAAAAACAAAGGTTAGAATTGATATCATTTAAGATGATTTGTGTCTTAAATGGATAATCTCGATGGATAGGATCTAGTTTATCTAGGGTTTAGGCAAAACTTGTCTAATCCTAAAGTCTTTTAAGTTTCTAGACTATCTAGGTTACTAGTGGAGCAATTCAGCAAGTAACCTTATGTGTTAAGAGATATAGAAAGATCATTTCATAATTTTCAATGTATAGGGTGAGTTTTATTTTAAACAAGAGTCTAGATGAGCATTAGTAGATTTTCGTCATACTTGCCTCTAGATATCTTTATCTAAATCCTAATAGGGTTTTAGCTTAGGTCTAAAGCTTTTACAAGCTTTCTTTATGGTGTATGCAACAATTTAAAGCAAACATCCAACCTAGTTTACAAATTATATACGTAAAATAAATTACAACAATTAAAAGGTTCGAAATATATACAAGAAATAAAACATATAAACGACTTGAAAAATAAATGACTTGGCAAAATAAATAGCAAAAACAAACAAATGAGATAAATTAAATAAGACTAAACATATGACCTAACTCTAGTCCCCAACGAAGTCATCATTCTATTGCTACCTAGCATTCAAAGGACTCTTGAAATTTTATAATTATTTTTTATTGATTTTGTTTATTTGGGAATATAAGTTATTATTAATTTCGAGTCATCACCTAGTATTAAAGGTAACTAGAAATCTAAAATGGACATTGGTTCAAAGATTATAAAGTAACAAGTTAGCTATGTCTTTGAAAAGATATCAATAACCCAAAAGCACCATTTTCTAGGAAATATACCACGTTTGGTTTGGTCTTAAATTTTATCTCCTAATTTTTTTTTTATCCCAAGTCAAAATTTCAAGTTTTATTTTCGAAGCCACATTAATTTTTTTTATTTTATTTGTAGCATCATATTGAACCGATCGTCGGACCTCTCTTTAGGGGCATTTTATCAATTCAACATCGGATACGGTTTAAGTCTCAACATAATTAGTATGTCGAAGAACGACCTAATTATTAAAATGTGATTGATTTGAGTTAATATCGATCCCTATTGCATATGAGACTTTGTTAATTTTTTCCTAGTATTTTCTATATTTTTCTTTTGTTCTTTTCTTTTATTTTTTCTTTATGTCTCTTTTATTTTTTTTATCATCTTCTTTTTTATATTTTTTATCATTTTATTTTCTTCATTCTTTTTTTAATTTTTAATTTTTTTTATTGGTGGAAGTCGTCATCATCGATCCCTAATTAGAAGACTCGACGACTCATCTACCTTTCAATCATCTAATTTAATTATCAAAATAAAACTTAAAAAACTAAACATTGATTAAGTAAATAAATAAGTATAAGAACGTAGAAATTCAAAGAATTAAATCTAAATCAGGATAAAAGTAAAAGGCATGAATTAAAATTTCTAAACTGATTTTATCTAGAAAAGGGGATAAAACTAGGATTATTGAGCCTTTTGGACCTAGTAGGCCTTCGGCCTATGAGGATGGATCTTTTTCTTTTATTTCTCCCTTCTCGAGCTGGGCTGAGCCCCAACCCAGCCCTAATTCTCTTTTCATTTCCTCCTTTCCTAGCCCAAGTCTTCTCTTTCTTTTTTCTCTCTCTCTCTCCTCACTTCATTCTCTTCTTTATCTTTTTTTTTTCTCCTTCTTCTTCCTCGCGTTTCTCACGTAAGAATGTTGAAAACTAACAAGAAGTGAAAATGATATTGAAAACTAACCTGGATTGACCGAAACGGATGAATGTTGTTTTTGTAGGTTTGATTGATGTTGATGAGGATTTAGGGTGATCTCTAGGAACTAGAACAATCCTTTCAAAAATCCTAAAATCCTCTATCTCCTTTTCTCTATTTTTTTTCTATATTTCTCTTGCGTTATCTGCTTAGAATACCTATTCTGGAGCAAGAATCATTTCTCCTAGACCCAAAAATTCTCCTCCTAAACTCAAAACTGTTCTTCCCTTTTGAAACCCAGAAAAATCCCAAACCCAGAAATTTCTTTCCTCCACGCTCCTCTCTCTTTTCTCCTTTTCTCTTAATCCATGCAATGAAGGCTCAATTTATAGCCAAACCCAAATCATCCTTCACCCTTCGATCCATCCCAATCAATCAGAATCCTCCTCCTTTAAAAACAAACTGGACGGTCCTGAACTTTGGATTTTAGTACACGACGAATCAATTGGGACAAAAACTGAATGAAAAATATGTGTGTAGGTGTTGTGCAATTGTTGTGCAGAGGTGGATGCAGGTTGTTGAAGCGCGATTCCTGACCAATACAATTGGCAGCCAGGAGCCACAAAGCTAGAAAATGAGGGGTTCATCTTCAAGGAAGATGATGAATGGTACTGGAAATTGGTCGTGGCCTGTCATTCACTCACTTTTGCTCATGTTGTTAGCTCGTCAACTCTAATTTAGTCCTCACTTGTTTCAATTGTTCGCAATTATATCCTTTAGGTATGCAATTTTGGTCCTTATTTCTTTAATATTTTCAATTGGACCCTTGTATCTTTTATTTTTAGTCCTAGTATTTTTTTATTGTTTTAATTATATCCTCAATTATTTCAATTTCAGTTTTAATTTTATTCAATCATGCCCCTAATTAATTGTGCCATGCAATTTTGTATTTATATATATATATATATATTTTTTTTACTCTTTTTCCCTTTTTTTGTTTTTTTTAGTAAATACCGAAATAAAATAAAATAAAAATAAGAAAACAAATAAATAAAAAAGGATAAAAAATTAGAGGAAAATATGTAATCCAAAGACAATTAAGACCCATCATCTCCAAAACATATGAACATTGGCAATCAAACGTTTAAAGACTCAAAAATAATAATAATAATAATAACGAAAAACAAAAAACAAAAAAAACAAACAAACAAACATATGAACATTGGCAATTAAACCCCTAAAGTATGGAGGCATGAGGTATAAACAATCAACCCAAATTCCTTTAATATTAAAGTGATGGAAATTATTTTCTGCATCCGGATTTCTACTCCCTCTCTCGCATAAATTAAAAATCAAATAATTCTAAATAGATGTCAAAGAACCATTCCTGCATTCATCTACTTTTAAGTTTAACACATACTTCTTAATGACGAGTAGTTCAAGAAAAAAATCGTAATTATCAATATCTTACAAGTCAATACATTCTCTTAAGTATAATTTGATGCCAAAAACACCTTTCTAAATTGACAATGAGCTATATTCATAATTAAATTTACAGCCACAATCAAATTGAAAAGTCAATAACAATAGCACATCACTAATTTGGTTAATTCAATTTTTTTATTAAAAAAAACATAAACAATAAAGCAATTTGTCCACTCCATTTTCCATGTACCCTCCAGAACCACTTTCCATTTTTACACCCATTTTAATATTAACTCGGAGGCCAAAACAGTAAAACAGAGGGCGCCCATAGCAAAAACAACCTTAATAGCGTCAAACTAACACTTCCTCCGCTTTCCTTGTTTAATTTTTCTCTGTTTCGCTTTTCACGCTTACATGTGTTGTCTTTGTACCGTCCTTCCTTCCAAGTTTCATCTCGTCTCTCTTTCATGCTCTCACCGTACGACCATCTCCACAATTTGTTAAATTATCCAATAAATAAAAAATAAAATTCAATTTTTTCTTAGATCTTTGTAGTTAATTGTCCATGGAAATGGCTTCAAGCCCTCGAACTGTAGAGGAGATCTTCAAAGATTTCAGTGCTAGAAGAGCTGCTGTTGTTCGTGCTTTAACTTATGGTAATTTAATTTATTAATTTTTAGTTCTTTATGTTCTTTCGGTTCCTTTTCTTTAGATTTCGTATCTTTTTTACGAATATGATTGTGGGTTTATTTTGTTTTCCTTTATTGTTTTCAGATGTGGATGATTTTTATGGACTCTGTGATCCAGGTAATGTGTAATGGTGTAACTGTAGATTTGAATTATTGTTGATTTGTTTTTCTTGTGGTTTTTGGGTTCTATTTTAGGGTGAAATTGAGAGAATTTGTTTGGTTACTGAGAAACTACAAGGGGAAGGAAAGGAAAGTGGGGTGTTTTGAAGTTTTGCATGTGATCTCTGCTATTGTACCTTTTAGGATAAGTGGATTTTTTTCAAAAAATTGTAAGTTTTAGGACATTTGGAATGTTGATAGTGGAAATTGAGGCCATCACTGTTTTAATTTCAATGTTTTGTTGGCCCTGTAAACAGAAGATTAAAATTAAAATGGATGTTAAAAACTGGAAGTGGATAATTTGAATTAACTTGAACTTGTGAATTGGTTAGTTAATGTTTTTATTAATGAAGAAATAAGAATTATAAGATTTGCATTTTGCTGTTACTCTGCTTATCCTCTGGTTTCTCAAGGAGTCTGCTTTATGTTTTGGCTTTGTTTGCAGTTATTGATATTAGCTTTACTCTTATTTTTTTCGGTTAGATAAGGAGAATTTGTGTTTGTATGGACATCCAAATGAAACATGGGAAGTAACCCTGCCGGCAGAAGAAGTTCCGCCGGAGCTTCCTGAACCAGCCCTTGGAATTAATTTTGCCAGAGATGGAATGAACAGAAAAGACTGGCTTTCACTGGTTGCTGTGCACAGTGATTCATGGTTGCTTTCTGTGGCTTTCTATCTCGGTGCTCGTCTTAATCGGAATGAAAGGTAATTTACTGCACAATTGCAGGGTCCCATGTGGCATCTTATTCCTGTACAATGTTGTTTTGTTAATCAGTTCTCCAATTTTGATGTGATTAAAATGTTGATGAAATTAGGAAAGTTAACCTTGGGAAAAAGTCCATCAAATTTGTTGGATGATTAAAATGGTACCACCATGTGCCACCAATCAATGACCTGATCATCTTTCCTAATTGCCTTCCATTTGGTGAAATTTAGAATCATGATATCATGAGCAATTGGTTTGCTTGAAAAAGATTTAATAGATTTGTCTGATCTGCTTGATGGTATCCTTATTTCTTAACTGTCATTCCTTCAAAAAAAGGAAGTTTATGAATTTTTTTATTACTTTTTAGCACCTTATTAAATCTTGTGACTAAGGATTCCAGAAACCTAAAAGAAATTCTTGACTGAATGTTAGGTCACAGATGTGGTTTCAATTGAATACAAGGCAGCATGCAGTTGTATTATATTCTGCTTGGCAAATAGTGATTTGTTTGAATTGGTCAGGACTGCATAGGCCACAACAAATAATATAAAAACTTCAAACCTCAACCATCTATTTTGGCATGTAATGTTTGTCTTGCAGACCTGAAACTTGATTATTTGCAATTTGCTTATTGGGACGTTTTCAGGTTTAGTTTTATTGTACCATTCAATGTGATGTTATGTTGAGTATGGCTTTTCTCCATAGAAACTGAAGTACATTTTTGTTGACAGGAAACGACTATTCAGCTTGATCAATGATCTGCCTACTGTCTTCGAAGTTGTAACAGAAAGGAAGCCTGTGAAAGAAAAGCCTAGTGTAGATAGTGGAAGCAAATCTCGGGGCAGCATAAAGGTGATTAATAAAAACTTCATTTGGACTGTCTCTATTTTTCTGATAATCTCAAACTTGATCAATAGCTTTCATTCTTATTTTTCTTTCTGCTTGTTAATTGTTACAACAAAATACAAATCTGGTGTAGAACTCTATCATGCATCACTCTAGCGACCGATGGTGCCATCAGTTTAGGCATTCTGTTGTTATGAAGCTTTAGTAATATGGATAGATCATAGATGCAGTGATTCAGTAAAAAAGTGCAAGGCTGATTTCCAAATCTTTAAACTTTTCAACTTGTCCTCAACCTTTCATGCTGTAGCCACTGACTGGGTTCCTCCTCTCTGTAGAGATCAAGCGATGGACAAATGAAAAGCAACCCTAAGCTTACAGAAGATAGTTATGAGGATGAAGAAGATGAACATACTGAAACTCTATGCGGGAGCTGTGGTGGAAATTACAATGCCGACGAATTCTGGATTGGCTGCGATGTCTGTGAGAGGTGGTACCATGGAAAATGCGTGAAGATAACACCTGCGAAGGCTGAGAGTATTAAGCAATACAAGTGTCCATCTTGTATGAAGAGGAGCCGGCCATAGTCAGTGTGGTTGCGGTGGCAGACCAAGTAGTGTATTAACATTACCCTTGTGCAATGTGAAAGTTAAAATGCTTGTTTATAACAGATGCCTCCAACGATTTAGTTTGCCTTCTTCCCAACTGAACCCTTTGCTTAAATAGCAGGTTATGTAATCTGATCTCTTATTTTATGTTAAATGCATGAATAATATTACACTAGAGACGACTTGCTTTGCAGGATTTTATCTGTCTTCTTGGTGATCTAAACTTATTATGCTATCTGAATGAGTGCCAACCGTGTTCCCATTATTAATTCGCTCAGTTAATCATAGCGAAGGATTTTTAATAGGGCGGTGTGGACAATAATGCTGTGTAACTGTCCATGCTCTTGGGCCTACTCTCATCTGTCCTCGGGCGGCCCTATACATGATATAGGGCTGAGGCCAGCTTAGGGGATTATGGCCTCTTGATATGTTGCTGTTGGTCTCGTGTTGAGTGTTTCCAACGTAACATCTTTAAAGGGATCCTTTCCTGGCCCAGCTCACTAAAAGGCTAGCTAGGAGCATGGAAGTCAAATCTGAAGCTGAAAACGTAGCCAGCCCAACACACTGGAGGATCTCGATTGACTTGGCTAGACTGGCCTAGAAAGTCCATTTGACTTGGCCTTCGCTACCGAAAGCCTTTTCCCCCAAGAGGTGATAACTGACGGTTGACTGAGGTCGGACAGTGCAGAAAAAACAACAGGGACGGACAGAACAGTTGCTTATCATGAGCTGTACAGTTTTTGGACTTTAAGCAACCCCCTTGAGTTTCCTTACCACAGTTGACAGAGAAGTTGAAACGACCTTTTGAGTTTGAAGTTATCCAGACTCCTATTCATTAAAGCTTGGTTTATTCCCGACCATTAGACATCATTTAGCATCTCCTTTAATCAAATTATATCTTAGTTCTCATCGATCCAATCACCTTCTCCCTGTCTACATCGCTGTCCTTTTCTTGCTCTCTTGTTTTAATAACCCTCCTTACAAGGAAGAAGACGTAGTTCATGCATCATTACTCATTCGGTGCCATTGATACTCTGTAATCACCTGATACAACAATGGGTTCAAGTCGCTCCGATGGATCGAACAAAGAGAGATTGCGTTGGACGCAAGAACTACACGATCGGTTCGAGGAGGCTGTTAATCAACTTGGTGGCCCTGACAGTATGTTCTTGGGATTACTCGGTGTACATGCATTAATGATATTCTTTTGAAAGATTTTTCATTGATCAAAACTAAATAGAAGCTCACCCTGTTATTAAAGCTTTGACCAAATTAATTTCTTATCAATACACTGCAAACTCCTGTACTTATGTTTCTCTTGTTTATTGACGTTTGTAAGATGACTTGGTATTTATGTGATTACTCATCTTTATATTTGTAATGATTTGCAGGAGCTACTCCAAAGGGTATCTTGAGGGCTATGGGCATCTCTGGATTGACAATCTACCATGTCAAGAGCCATTTGCAGGTTATCTATTCTCCCTCTAGCTAGCTTGCACTCCTGCATGGAACTATACAACCCATTAAGATTTTATGTCATCAACCTGGATTACCATAATCGTTGACCCAGATTTTGGCTACAAGATGCATAGCTGCACTCTTGTGTTTTCTTGCGCCAATTAAAAGATTAAATACTAATTAAAATACACACATGATCATTGATAATTTGACCGAGTACATGTTGATTTAGCTTTCTGCAAAACATATATATATATATATTCCCCTTAATTTTGTATATAATATATTCCTTCCTTTTTTTTTCTTTTTTTTTTTTTTGTTCTTTTTCTTTTTCTTTCAAACTGCAATATTTGTCCATAAGATAGTATAAAGTGTGATTAATATCATCGAGGGCTTATGATAATTAGGTTTTATTATATTTCTGATCTATCTTCTTCTTCTTCTATCAGAAATACAGAATCTCGAAGTTTATCCCAGAAACGAACAGTAAGTCTATAGTACTTCCATTTTATTTTCATTGGCTATAAATTTGCAGTACTTTAGTTCTTCTTTCGCGTAAATTAATTTCTTGTATCTTCCTGCAGGGGGCAAGTTTGAGAGGAGAAATATTTCTGAAATGTTGCCAAATTTCAGCGTGACGTCGTAAGTTAATTATATATTAATTAGCTGCACCTCCTTCAATATATTTGTTCATGAACCTAGTGTTCTAATCTAAGTTTTGTTTGCAAAATTTTTCCAGAGGTGCTCAACTTAATGAAGCATTACTGATGCAAATGGAGGTTCAAAAGCGACTTAGCGATCAACTTGAGGTAGCAAGGCAACATAACTTTTTTCATGCAGATTTGTTTGCTCATGAGCAAAAAATAAAACTTTGTTTGCTTTACTAAATTATAAATAAACACAATGCATATGTTTGTTGATTTCTTTTTTGTTTGTGTAACCTTGAAGGTTCAAAAGAGCTTGAAGCTGAAAATTGAAGCCCAAGGGAGATTCCTCGAGAGAATTGTGGAGGAAAATAGAAACCGAACTACGACCATTAATCCAAAACATAGCAAGTCTTTCTCTCCGGAATCACTGCCGTCTCTCTGTGATGAATCAGAATCAAATGCTAAGGAATTTGAAACTGATTCGGAGAGTGAGAAAGTTGAAACACAGTCTGAAGAAGACTTTCAAGCTCTTAAGCGATTGAGGACCGAAAACCAAGTTTTGCCTTCGCGATATCAACTTGATCAACCTCTCAATCAAAACGTGGTTCTTCAAAGAGAACAAAAATTCTCACATCCATCTCACGATGTCAACTTCCCATGGAATATTTTGGCCACCTGTTCATCACCTCTAGTGCCCAATTTTTTCTAGGTTAAATATTATATATATATATATAACATTTCATATTGTTATGGTTGCATGGAACAAAAGGAAAGGAAGCACCATTACTCACTGGAAATATTTGGGTATTTTCATGGTTATTCGGAGAATTTAACTAGGTGGATATCTTACTTTGAAGATCATGAAGGCAAGCAAAAGATTTCTGGTGGTGATAACTGTGTAGAAATAAGATTAATATATATAACATTAAGTGGATTCCTGTGTGATTGTGAAGGCTATGCTCCTTGTTTACTGTGTACAAATAAGAATATAGCATTAGTGGATGCCTGTTGGACTATGAAAGGCAAATCTTTCTTAGCTATTCTTTTTCTTTTTCTTTTTCTTTTCTTATCTTGGTTTGTTGAGAGAATACATTTGTTCAGTACTCTTGTGTTCTTACAACATATTTAGAGTCAAGATGTTGGACCTTAGAGATTTGCTTAAGTAGGTTTATATATATGCAGTGTCTAAAGCTTAATCAGGCAAGGATTTAATCTCGAATTATGGATGCTGGTAAACATTTTGTCCCCATAATATTGGATATTAGGAAATTTTTCTTTGGTAGACCAAAGGTCCAAAAGGAAATTTCATAATAACGCATTTCTTACTCTATTAAGTGAATCTCAATGAAAGGGACTCTTTCGGGAAGGGATGGCAATAAACAAGATATAAAATAGATATCCACTAGATTGGTGTCCGCGTTATGCTGCGGTCGAGCACCCTTTATATATATACATAGTGTGTAACGATTCGTATGATATATTGTAAGTAAAAATTTTATTTTCGATGATTAATGTAAATTGAATCTATATATTAAGCGAAATCGCTTTATATATATATTAGCATCAAAATTTGTATTTGAATAATTGAAAAGTTCCTTTAAAACATTATGTAACTTATTTTATTTTAAAAAATAAATTTTAGAATATAAAAAATAAATGATAAAGAATTGGTATTATGTGTGCAGATCTATAGTTAATTTCTAATAAAACTATATATATATATATAACACGGATTCGAATATATAGAATAAATAGAAAAATATACAAAAAAAACCTACCTAAATTGTATGAAATATATTGAAGTCAATAGACTAAAAAAACTACAACAAATTTTATTCGATACTGAATAAATATATGTAAAAAAATAAAAATAAAACATGTGAATTTTTTATAAAAACAAATTGAGCCAAACTATCTAAAACATACTTTTCTCTCTCTCTCTCTCTCTCTCTCTCTCTCTCTCTCTCTCTCTCTCTCTCTATATATATATATATATATATATATATATATATATATATATATATATATATATATATATATATATATATATATATATATAATCATAATTTATAAATTATAATAATATATTTTTAAAATATAAAACACACACGTTTTAAAATTTTATTCCAAAATTCATACATTAAAAAAATTATTAATAAATAAAATTATATCAAAAATTAATTTGATGAGAATTTTAATAAGAAAATAAATAATTGAAGAAATAAATTTTAAACAATAAAAGTAATATAATTAGATATATATATATATATATATATATATATATATATGTTCAAATTAAAATCTTAAAAAATATCATATATATTCTATCATCTTCAAACTGTACGTAAAACTAAAAAAAAATAAAGATTTATTTTCTATATTTTTCACACCTAATTTCATGATAATATATATATATATATATATATAGAAAAAAAAAAAAGACCAAGCTCGCTAAATTGTATGAAATATATTGAAGTCAATAGATTAAAATAAAAAACTACGATAAAATTGATTGTAATAAATTCCAAATAAATATGTATAAAATAACAAATAAAACTTATGACTTTTTTAATAAATTATTAATTTTTTAAAAAAATTAAGCCAAAGTATTTAAAATATTCTCTTAGCTCTCTCTCTCTCTCTCTCTCTCTCTCTCTCTCTCTCTCTCTCTCTCTCTCTCTCTCATATATATATATATATATATATATATATATATATATATATGATCAGAATTTATAAATTATAATAATATATTTTTAAAAATAAAATATTCATTTAAAAAGCATAAAAATAAATTATTATATAAATTATAATAATATATTTAAAAAAACACCGACGTTCTAAAATTTTATTCTAAAATTCATATATTAGAAAACCTAATTTATTAACAAATAAAACTATATCAAAAAAATTAATTTGATTAGAATTTTAATAAGAAACAAATAATTGAAGAAATAAATTTTGAATAATAAGAGTAAAAATGAAAAAAAGAAAAAGAAAAAAGTAATAGTGAAAATTTTTTAATAAAAAGAAAAAAAAACTAAAATTGAGTAGTATAGTGTGAGGGTAAAGTACATTATCAGGCTATGTGGAAAAAAATAACGATCAATTTTTAAAAATTTTAACACTCAATCAAATAAAAAAAGAACATAAATTGATGAGAAAAAAAAGACATATAGTGCATCAGCTAGGGATTAAAATTTTTATTTTAAAATTTTAGAGATGAAAACGAAATAATTTGAAATTTTAAAAAAAGAACCTAAGGAAAAAAACTAAGGGTGAAATTAAAAAATAAAAATAAAACAATTAAGAAAATAAGGAAATAATTAAGAGTGAAAATTAAAAAAGAAGGGAAAGAAAAACTAAGATTGAGTAAAAAAAAAAAAAAAAACTATTCAAGTGAATAGTATTGCATGATGGTTACTGTTCATTCGAACAAGTAAAACCATCACACATTTTAGTTTATAGAGATGAAAACGAAATAATTTAAAAATTTAAAAAAAGAACCTAAGGAAAAAAAATAAGGGTGAAAATTAAAGAAAATATAAGAAAATAAGGAAATAAGTAAGAGTGAAAATTAAAAAAGAAGGGAAAGAAAAACTAAAGTTGAGTGTTAAAAAAAATAAAAAATAAAACTGTTCAAGTGATCGGTACCTCGTGATGGTTACCGTTCATTTGAACAATAAAACCATCATGCGTTTTAGTTTATAAGTAATTCAACCTTACATTAAAAATACACAATCCGCATCGAAACGGGTAAAAGTAATGAATGAAAAAGAAAAAAATAATACATACATGCTACACGTGAGTTTTGGATATAGAAATGCACTCTACACTCTACAATTCTTACAGGACTTGATTGCATAAATTTTATAACCTAGGAATCAAAATTTTTTTATGAAAACTTTAATGATAAAAAAAACTTATAAATAAAAGATTAAATTGTAAAAAATATTATATTTAAGGACCAAAATAACTTTTTGGAAAAATACAATGACTAAAATGAATTTTTTGATAAATTATTTTTAAAGTATATTAAATAGAGTAAACTGAGTATGAATCATCTATAGATTTAAAAATAATTTCATAATGGATATAGATAAGATATTTTTTTTTTTACTAAATAGGGTAACGGATTGATTTAACCCGGCCAATTGATATCTTGTATTAAGGTGTAAGCAGTGGTTAATTCGGTAGGTTTTTGACCCAGAAAACAATCACACAGAGATTGCAAAAGTTAAAATTTTGAAATTGAACCAAACCGACTAGGGTAGCATCTGTTTGGCTCGGTTTTGTTTTAGCTCAAATTGTAAATAACAATTTTTAAATGGTAACTATGGACAGGCCTTATCGGAGACAATATTCACCTTATACTGAATTTAGCCCACACTAGGGTAGGGTTTTTGACCCAAATGGACCTACTTCAAATTTATGACAAGAGGTTAATTGTGATGGGCCTAATCTAAGACAACATTCACCTTATTTTGTTTTTATATTGATTTTTAAATTTTAAAACAAAACAGACCAAAACGGACCAATATATATTATGAAAATTTCAAACCAAGCCGGCTTCAGACGTTGCTTGAAAAACCAATTGATTCTGGGTTTTTCGATTCATTATGTTATACATTATTGTGGTTGGTTGCTCACCCCTACTCCAACGTGGTGTCTCACTACCATTTCGGTCTTTATTTCTATTTAGGAGGGATTTTTGGACGAACTTTAAATGGGTTGGGCTGGTCACAGGAAGATGAATATGAGTTTTGGATCAGAAAGCAGTTACCGTCTTTGAAAGGATCCAATTCTTCTCATACAACGGTAATGCTTTTCGTGTAATGGTGACTAGTTATTGAATTTGTTTTGTGGTAAAATCGAAACCTTTCATTTGCAATTAACAGATAGATTTTAGTATTATATGTGTGTGTTTGTAATGGATTTAAATCATGTTATTAACAAAAAAAATAAATAAATAATCTCTTGTAATATCTTTAGTTGTTAAATTCAATCAATCTGATGAGTAGATTCGAAAATTTAATGATTCATATCCTAATTAAAGTCAGATAGGTGAATCTACGAAAAGTTTTTGGCCTCCTTTTGACACAGTTGCCAAAAATAATAGGAGAGAAAAGAAAAGATAGTTTTTTTTTTTTTTTACGAATTTTATACGAAAAAAATAAGAATTTTTACTGTACAAAATATTAGAAATATTTCTAATATTAATTTTTGAATACTATAATTATAAGAAATTATTGTTTTCACCGCAATAATCTCACATAATATTGGAATTTATAGAAACATAGAAATTTTATCGATTTCAAGTTTCGTGATGAGACAAATTCAGTAAAAAATAAATAACTTGTATTACTCGTCAATGTTTTTATTTTTCAAATTCACAAAAAACAAAATAAATAAATAATTGTATTACTTTTTTTATTATATAAATTGTTTTGGAGTTGGTCTAGTTATTTTTTTTTCTCTCTACCATATAAATGATTTTTCACATAAATTTAGTATTTTTATAGTTGCGTTCTTATAATTGATTTATATTGTTATTATTATTATTATTTTGTAAAATCTAATTTATAGACAATGAGATTAAATTCCCAAGAAACACGAATAAGTGAAAAAAAAAAAAAAAAGACTTTTTAACTCCTTACTATTTTACTTTAAAAAAATTTAACGATAAATCAAACTATTACTTAGTGACCT